GAAGTTAAAATCTCTTTAATAAGATTTCATCCTAAGCTTTAAAAGTTGAAATTTTCTATCATACATTTATTTAGGAAATAGATATCAATTTTGAATGTCTTGTAGAATAATGCACAGGAATATAATCATGAAGGCTGATAGGTCTGCAGTGTTGCATCTAGTTCTCTGGGTTTTTTTTCGACAAAAAAACAATTTAAATGATCATATTGTTACATCATGGCATGTCCCCTACATTTTTTTTTCAAATCCCCCAAATTTTTCAGTTGTGCGGGTAACAATCCTCCATAATTTTGAAATTCTAGATGCAACACTAGTATGAGTGATTTATAATAAAGCACATTAATATAATATACTACAACGCACATGAAATGGTTATCGCTAGAAGTAATTTTCATGACTTCTTTGGATGATTATCATATCTGACATTATATGACCTGTAAGCTTTATCTCTTATGCCGTGCATATATCATGTAATGCACTCAACAGTCGTATCTGTTTGTTTGTTTGTTTCATTTTACGCCTTTTCCCAACAGTATTTCAGTCATATAGGCGGGTAGTTTCCTAACCATCGTTCCTGGAGAGTTAGTTACACCAGTACTAGACTACCTTTCTCCGCGCTAAACTACCAAAGCATCTCCCGGGGATCGAACCCACGCCAGAGAGGTAACTGGATTAGAAGTCATCGACTCTAACCCCTCGACCGCGGAGGCGGTTCAGTCGTATCTGTTTGAATGGGGAATAATCTAAAGGGTGTTAGAATTCGATCTTATCCACAGCATAATAAAAAAGTTATTTTCATATTTTTCAATAGCCACCAGAATTTGTAAATGCTATGCATATTTTTCAATAGCCACCAGAATTTGTAAATGCTATGCATATTTTTCAATAGCCACCAGAATTTGTAAATGCTATGCATATTTTTCAATAACCACCAGAATTTGTAAATGCTATGCATATTTTTCAATAACCACCAGAATTTGTAAATGCTATGCATATTTTTCAATAACCACCAGAATTTGTAAATGCTATGCATATACTTTACTTGTTATACACTGCTGCAGCATGACCTTTTTACTTGTGGAAGATGACCTCAGGTGCCCCTTTATGCATTGTTTCAGGCATGAGGGAATAAATACATGTATTTAAGTAGAACCACAGTCCTTCCAGATAGCTTCCTCATATCATAGAATTCAAAATCCTTCACAAGATTTGGGAATGAATCCAAATCACCTATCTTCACCATTCAGTATTTTGACCATTTGCTAATAATGCTTGGCCTCATTTAATAAAACATTAAACTGACTAAAAGAGAAAATTTTTAATATTTTCAAAGGTACCTGTTTAAATGTTAGCTGGATAGCTTCATATTTCCGATGATCAAGAGCACTCATTAGGTCAAGAATAGACTGAAATATAACATTAAAAATAGTCATGTAAAAATTGAATCTCATAGCATGTAATCATTGAACAACAGATGCTTTACAAATTTCCAGATATTTTCTTTTCATCGCCAAAATAAATTTTTGTTTAACTGTTGTTTTATAAAAGGATATGTTCGCTTGATAGTTTTTAACACAAATTTAGTCACATAGTTATAAAAAAATATTACTTTTAACTTAAAATACTGGATGCACAATAAAATCACTAAATTTTATGACTGAGAAACTATATAACTTACAGTATGGGCTCTGTCCAGCTCTTCTTTTCTCTTGATGAGTTTAGATTTCTGTTCAGTGAAGTTGACAAACTGATCGAGGGCTTTCTTGTTAACATGGCTGTATTTTTTAAGTTCAGCATTACACTGATCCAACTTTTTAAACAGCTAAAACCACAGAAAAAATAAAATATGTATTGAAATTCAAATTTTTGTATTCATTAAAAACACAAACTTAGGAAAACACATAAAAAAACACTATTGCTTATACAATTAATAACTCACACAAGCTAGAATCAATATCTATTGGCAGCCTGGGGTGATACTTGTATCAAGACTAAGCTCAAGTTTTTAAGAAGTACATGTTGTATTAGCCAATATTTTGAGAAACACAGGCCAAAAACTGGACACTACGACTGGGTAATAATACTTTAATATAGTCATTAAAATATAGAATAAGTGCACAACAATTAGTATTCCAAGCATCTGCAAACAAAAGATGTACAAAATGAGTAGCACATTTCACAATTCTCAACGCCACATAATCAAGGTAGACAATACGGCTTGATAGGGTTACCTTCTCTTGGCTTTAAATGTATGGTCATTTAATTTTCCAAATTTGGCACAGCAAACTAGTGATGAATCTGTGAAATGAGTATCTTTGATGATTTTTGTGAACAAAGAAGTAAATAATGCCAACAAGAGTGTCAAAATAGTTCCATTTTCCTCTGAAGCTCAAGCTAAAATGTTACCTGTTTAGATCCCAGATTCTGATATTTCTCAAAAGCATCACTGGGTAGAGATCCCAACTCTCTTATCTTCTTCATACACTCGTCTTTCTACAATCAATTAAATTCAACATAATGAAAGGATCTTCTTAATGCATATTACATCTAAGAAAAGAGGCTGCACGTCTAGTTATAAAATGAAATTGTTACGATTTTAGTTGAAGATGTCAACATAGACAAATCAGACAAATAAAGTAGGTAAATTTTTCAGCTTTCAACAATATGAATACTGAATACATAGAAATACAGTATGTTACCAAAATGAGTTACATACACATGTAAATAACATCTAATTTACTTAAGAATTTCATTAATAGTTCAAAATTACGGTAAACTTGTAAGCAAAAAGTACAGAATTTTTTCACCATTTAAAAACTTGATGTTACCATACATAATTACTTATTTCACTTCTCAAGACTCTGCACAAAATTTCACTGATGTCACATAAAAGCAATGTCAAATGTATTACTTTTTGAAAGAGGGAGAGAAAAAAAATGGTGATGAATGTAGGTACCTTTTTAAGAAGAACAGTTTGTTTATTTGTCATCTTATCCAGTTCCTTAGAATCTTCTCCTAGTTTATCCTGCATCTCTTTCTCCTGACCCTGTAACATACAACAAACATATATAACAGTTCTCCCCCTGGTGCACCCTGGACTTACTCTACAGTACCCGCCTGGGTACCTCACACCATGTTTATCCACACATGTGCTATTATGCAAATGTAACTCCCCCAAAAACATAACAAAACTAGAACTATCACTAGATGTGATGTTTATTTGTTTGTTTTCAAAAGAGAAAGTGTTGCTGAATAAAATATTTGCAGTTTCAGTCAAAAGTGCAATATAATGCACATAACATGATTTATATACACATGCCAAGCACTAATGACAGTCGTTATTTTGTTTGTTTGTTTGTTTCATTTTACGCCTTTTCCAAACAGTATTTCAGTCATATAGGCGGGTAGTTTCCTAACCATCGTTCCTGGAGAGTTACACCAGTACTACACTACCTTCCTCCGAGCTAAACTACCAAAGCATCTACCAAGGATCGAACCCACGCCAGAGGTAACTGGATTAGAAGTCATCGACTCTAACCCCTCGACCACGGAGGCGGTTTGTGATAAATACCCCCCTCAAGACTGCTTCAGAAATGAGGGAATTACTAGTAACAGAATACCTTGTAAAAATTAAAATAGAGTTATGGTTATTACCATTATTTTTCAATTTATGCACTGGAAAATAAAAAGTAACAACGGACAAAAACTCTGAAAGAGTTCTGGTTTCTGTGCCCTGCGCTTACTCTCAATATACTTGACCATTGTATGAAAATGTATTGAATTCCAACTAGCAGTTTTCAAGTTATGCTCTGGACATGAAAAAAGCAATGGAAAAGTAACAAAGGGCAATAACTCTGGAATTACTTCAGATAGGGTTATGGTTCTTTGGCACTGCACTTCCTCTTATTGTGCTTGACCATTGTATGAAGTTGTTTTGAATTCCAAACAGTAGTTTTCAAGTTATGCTCCGCACAAGGAAAAGTACCAAAAAAGGGCAGTAACTCTGTAATTAATCAAGATGTAGTTATGGTTCTTGTGCCATGCACTTCCTCTTAATGTGCTTGACCATTGTATGAAGTTATATTGAATTCCAACCATTAGTCTTCAAGTTTTGGTCCGAACAAAAAAAGCAATGAAAAAGTTACAAAGGGCAATAACTCCGTAATTAGAGTTATGGTTCATGTGCACTGCACTTCCCCTCAGCTTTCAACCAATATGAAAAGAAAATTCTAACACAAACTCCAATGAACTTGATTCACATTATAAAGGATGATGTTTACATAAATAATTATACATATCTGTTATTTTTTTTTAACTAGAGAAACATATCTAAATTCACTTGTGAAATCACACTTACCCTCCAGTATTCTATATTATTTTGCAGTTCCTTTTGTTCTTTGTTCAACTTTTCTAAATTATCTTCCAAATCTGAAAAGTCATCAGGTACATTCTAATAAAACTGCTGGAATGTGTTAATTGATAAAGTTACTGTGGTTGAAATTAGCACTAACCTCGCAGCTAAAAACTAGAAGATTTCATATCGGGATAGAAAAACATTACTAATTCACAGTTTAAAATATAAGTTACCAGCTTGACATGCTTGTTAATTTTAATCCCAATTTTTTATGATTGTTTTGACGTCAAAAGCATAGAACATGACAAATAAAAGTCAAAACATAACATAATAAAGTTTTAGAACAGAACAAAGATATCATCGAATTACAAAGTAGCATCATTTTCATTATTCTCAGCATTCTGCTTCATTATATTACTTAAGACAACTTAAACCTTTCCGTTTAATAATTCAAATGGACTTATTCTTTCAATCTGGATAAAACCACAGATCATTTTTAGGAAAAAAATTTAATATATGTACCAACCGAATATCTTAACAATTCAGACCATGATCAGACATCACCAATATGTCAGCGAGCCTTGGTCCGAACTGGTTTAAAGTGTAGATTTTGTAACATTAAGGACTGATCAACAGTAAATAAAATATATACCGAAACAAAGTGTCCTTAATCTTAATGTAAGTTTTTAATTGATGAAATGATATTTTGATCATGTTTTAACAGAAACTGACATCTATCATTTGTTTGTTTTGTTTTACTGCACACCAACATTATCTAGGTCTTATGGTGTCCAAACAGGAAAAGATGATTTTGGCTGACCTCGGGTGTTAAAAACTTAAAACAACACCAGGGGTCAAAACCACCTAACCTGGAGCTAAGAAATGCATAGACTCAAGTTATTCAAACCCATTTAGTCGCCTCTTATGATCACAGAGGGATATCGGTGGCTCCATCCATCAGCCACAATAGGGGCATTTTATCAACTTTAAAAACCTTACAGCAAACATTGAAATGACAGACAGAGTAAGCATACCTTTCATAGAATTTTTTATTTCACTGAGTCTCTGGTCAACTTTACCGAGACTTTCAGCTGAGGTTGTCAGTCTCTCTTTCCGGTTCATCACAGCCTCCTCCTGCATCTCCCCTAAGATACGCTCCCTGTTCTTCATCAGGTTGTTTTGCAGCAAGTTCTCAAGTTTGTTCTTCTCACCTTCAAGCTGTGCGTAAATAATTGTAGACTACAATTAAAATTTAGCTTTCTTTTTGTTTACTTTATTTACCTTATACAAAACTATGTTATCATAACTAATGATCATGGCCAACTTTAAGGAGAAGATCTGAAGGTCCATTTCCATCCAGTATATCAGGCACTAGCATGCACATTGGTATAACAAAATATGTTTTGTTTTAATAGCTTGCTGATTGAATATATAATTTCCTTTTCTACAGTATAACTGTAGTAATAGGGTAATTTTTCTATTCAGAACTTGTAACATGCTAATTATAACAATCACTGTGAAACACACAAATATTCTAAATACCATTCCATAAACGTACCTGTACAACAAGCCAAACTGAAATAAAATGCCATGCTGTTCAAAATTAGTAAAATCTGTTTTGCACCGAAATACATACCTTTATTCTTTCCTTGAGTGAATCTTTATTTTGCTGGGTAAGAGTTTTGATTTGATCATTCAGTTTATCCATTTCCTCCTGGTCTTCTACACTCAGCTGAGACAGGAGATCGGTTCCCAGTTCTTCCTTCAGTGACAGGGCAGTTCCCTTCATGGCTTCTAAACTACTCTGTAAGTTGACTACACTTTTTCCCTGTAAATAGTCAAATCTATACATATACCATAATAACTATACACTTATTATAAATTTCATTAACCCAAGCCAATAATAGTGAAAAAAAATCCTTCTGAAATATGTAGAGAAGCTCACAGTAGTTACTTCCAGATTTAAAATTGCACCAGCAACTAATTAAAAGAAAAAAATAATTACTGCAAACAGTCAAATGTGACTGAAAAACTATTACTAAACCTGTGATGTAATAAAATACAAATGAGCCGCGTCACGACAAAACCAACATAATGGGTTTGCAACCAGCATGGATCCAGACCAACCATTCGCATCCGCCCAATCTGATCAGGATCCATGCTGTTCACTTACCAACTCTATTACAAGTAGAGAAAGTGATAGCGAACAGCATGGATCCTGATCAGACTGGGCGGATGCGCAGGCTCATCTGGATCCATGCTGGTCGCAAATGCACTATGTTGGTTTTGCCGTGACGCGGCTCAAATACTTTTTATTATCTTACTTTGCCTGGTTGAGTTTTCTGTAAGTTCTTTAACTCTTCTGTCATAAGCCTCACATCAGCTTTCATCTTCTCAAAGTTGTCCCTGTTCTTGCTATTTCTTGTCTCCATTTTCTGCATCTCGGACACAAGGTTATTGATCTGTCCCTCTATCTCCTCTAGCTTACTCTTGTGCTCACAATACTGGCTATCTTGTTGGGCAACCTACAAACATTACATAATTTCAATAGTTTTTTTTGTTTTGTTTTGGGTTTTACGTCACATCAACACAGTATAGGTCATATCGCGACGTTCCAGCTTTACTGGTGGAGAAAGACCTAAGGTGCCCTTCCGTGCATTATTTCAGGCACGAACGGGCACCCGAGTAGAACCACCGACGTTTCGTAAGCTAGCAGGATAGCTTCCTCACATGAAAGAATCCAAAGTCCCTGTCGGGATTCGAACCCACAGCGGTGAGGGGCAAGTGGTTTAAAGTCAACGACCTTAACCACTCTGCCACGAACGCCCCAATTTTAATAGTAACAGTTCCATGAATTGGTCTGAGAAGGCCTGTATCATATGGCTTCTATCCTGCTTGAAGTGAACTAGGCTAATCAAGTACAAAATGAATACTGTAAATACCCTTTAATTTTGGTTGTTAAGATTTTGTTCTTTTTTGTCCAAAAAGTGTTGTTTTTTTTCCTTCTTTTTTGAGTATTCATGAATTTTTTATGAATTTGCATCATTATTACATTCAAAATAGAAAGTGTCATGACAGTCATTATCATTTACAGTAAATTGATTTACATCTCAGAACAGTACCAGCCACATTTAATCAAGTCTTTTCTCTGTTTGATTTTTTCAAAGGCATTAATCATCCATTTAGCGTGTACTGGTTTAATAGTTGAGAGTTTTATGTCTATATCAAGTTTTTCGACATCAGTCAATTAAATGTGCCCAAAGGCAAGGTCATGCATCAAAAAAGTAGCCTCTTAAAACTGTAATTTAGGCCGTAGCGACTTAATATCAGCGGAATTCACTGTTACTACCAATCCGCAAAAGTTTGCCTCGTGAAAAATGTGAAATATTGTATACGCGAACATTTCTAGGAATACAGTACCTTCAGCAGTTACAATTGCGTATACATGATGACCAAACTTAATAGTAGTTTAATCATCTGAAAATCTTATTTGATAGTATTAGATAAAGAAATTTAAAACTCCTAATGCCACGCTTCACAGCATTAAGAAAAGTTTGAGATATAATTTTATCACAGCTCTATTAAAGCTCTATTTATGTACTTTGTAGAAACATGTACCTTTTGTGCATATTCTTCCTTTGATTTGTGGAGATCAAGTCTAGATCTTCGGTTGTCATAGTGACCACCTGTAAGAGCACCTCTTCTTGATACCTGGTCACCTGTAATAGATATCATTCTGTCAGCAAATGTCACTTTAGTTACACAAGTTCATGGAATCAATTATTGAAACATAAAAAAGTGTAAGAAATAAGGATTATCACAAAACATGTGAATACTATTAGTGTTATATTATTAAGTTTATATAGAATTTGTATTTTTGTTTTACAGTGCACCAACACAGTATAGTTCATATGGCACCAAATCAGGAACGATGAGTTTGGCTAACATCGGATGTTAGAATCTTCAAAGCAAAACCATGGGGTCAAAACCACACCATCTGCTGTAGCTAAGAGATGCATAGACTCCAGTTATTCAAATCCATTTAGTCGCTTTTTATGAGCATGCAGGGATAAACGATTGCTGCAATTCTTACTCCTCAACCATTAAAAAAAGCAACCCTTAAGCCACAGGGGCCACAGAATCCATTTTAGTTCAATTATGTAGGAAGCTTTAAGCTTATAAACATGCGTTCCAATCCATTTCTGTAACTTAACTAGTACTGAGCTATTAGTTTAAAGTTTTTTATTCAAGGAAACAATGGTGTCCCTTTTTAAGTGGTTTGAACCATCCTTAGATTACAAGTCTGATGTGTAAACCACTCGGCAATGCCGCCACTTAAAAGTTTACAATTTTAACATAAGAAAATAATTTACAGACTGACCATCAAGTGTAATACAGTCAAGGTTCTGAGTCCTAGCTATCTGTGTGGCCACTTCCATACTTCGGCAGATTAGAGTTTTAGAGAAGACATGTTTCAACGCAGGACTGTATTTATCATCGTAACGGAGTTTGCTTATCATAGGAATGGCATCCTGAAATATATAAACCATTGATTCAATTTAAATTTATGACTAAAAAAATTCCTTCAGCTCACCATTGTTTGGCAATAGTAATTCATTGCTTATCTGCTGATACAGCAATATAAGGTATATATATTTACATATTTAACATTTATATCACCCAATTAACCAACAAACTTACAAGCAAAATATATATGCCTTAAACTTTGCATTCTTCACCAACAATGCATCAAAAAATCATTTTTATTTCCTAAACATATGTATTATAGTCATAACATTTTAAAAGATAATCAACCATTGATAAAGGGTTGAAATTTTTCAGTCTCCTATCACATGCAATGACTGAATCATTTTTCTCACTCACAAAAACATACCAGAAATTAAAATTTTTCAGTTATAACTACTTTCATTGCACATGAAGCTTTACAACATTTATTGCAGGAGAGGTCAGGAATTATGCTACACAAAATGTTAGAAAGTTTGGTTGATGTAAACCAGAAATTTCTTAATTCAATACTTTTTTTATTTGTTAAATTTACTTTGCCAGATAATTTGTTTAAATGTATTTTCTCTAATTGGATTTGAAACGGTTCACTGCCACCAACATTTTTTGCAGGTCTTAATTCCAAGAAAGATTGAGATATGAGCTGCATCATGACAAAACCAACGTAATGCATTTGCGACCAGCATGGATCCAGACCAGCCTGCGCATTCGCTTACAAACCTTTTAACAAGTAGAGAAACTGATAGCAAACAGCATGGATCCTGATCAGACTGCGCGGATGCTGGTCGCAAACGCATTATGTTGGTTTTGTTAGGACGCGGCTCATATACATGTGTTGGTGACTCAGTTTTGGTATTTAAAATTATGAAATCTTCAAAATTAACAACAGACACTATAACATTAAAAACAAGCAATTATCATAGTATTGCAAGCAATCCATAAGTCCCCTACCGGTAAGAGCCCAAGCAACATTCTGAGGGGCCATTGGCCATTCACTTAGGTTCCTATTTTAAGTAAATTTGTTGAAAAAGTTCTTTAAAAGTGATCACAGGAAACAGTTTTTATGTACAGACAGACATACTGAAGGACACTCTAAAGTTATTTTTTAAACATCCCTGTTATCAAAATATAACATTTTTAAAATCCTATCATGATTGAAGAAGTTGGAGTAAAAATTACCAATTTCTCAAAAAAAAGCCTAAGTTCAAAAGGGGCATAATTCTGGAAATAGTCTTGCTAGAGTATTGAACACACACAAATGTTGAGTGACAATAAGAAACATTTATATGAAGTTTGAAGTAGATACATTCAGAAAAAGAAGTTATTAAAAAAAACAATGTTTTTTTCATGAAAATTTTAAGTTCAAGGGAGGTAATTCTGATAAATTTTGTGCTAGAGTTGTAAACCTTGTCACATATGATGTTGTTCAAGACAAGCAACTTATATTTAAAGTTTGAAGAAAATACCTTAAGAAATAAAGAACTTATAGTGAAAAAACTTAAAAACTAGAATCAGAAATCTTGAAATTCAGTCTATTTGTTGCCATAGCAACCAGAATTTTCAACATAGGAAGATAAAAAAGGATGTGCATAATTTCCATACTGCCATCTACCCATATGTCAAGTTTCATAAACATATTTTCAGTACTTTTTGTGTTATCACTGGATCCAGGTTATGTGTAAAATTTGCCATATTTTCAGTCTATTTGTTGCCATAGCAACCAGAATTTTCAACATAGGAAGAAAAGAAAAAGACGTGCATAATCTCCATACTGCCATCTATCCATATATCAAGTTTCATAAAAATATTTTCAGTACTTTTTGCGTTATCGCGGGATCCAGGTTATGTGTAAAATTTGCCATATTTTCAGTCTATTTGTTGCCATAGCAACCAGAATTTTCAACATAGGAAGAAAAGAAAAAGACATGCATAATCTCCATACTGCCATCTATCCATATATCAAGTTTCATAAAAATATTTTCAGTACTTTTTGCGTTATCGCGAGATCCAGGTTATGTGTAAAATTTGCCATATTTTCAGTCTATTTGTTGCCATAGCAACCAGAATTTTCAACATAGGAAGGAAAGAAAAAGACGTGCATAATCTCCATACTGCCATCTATCCATATATCAAGTTTCATTAAAATATTTTCAGTACTTTTTTGCGTTATCGCGGGATCCAGTTTTGTGGACGGACGGACTGACGGACAGACAGACGGACGGAGGGTAAACCTAAAGTCCCCTCCGGTAAACCGGTAGGGGACTAATAAGTCACTTTTATGTACAAAACAAGCTATAAATTATCTATATATACTTACATTAGTTTCTGGATAGACTGTGTCCCTGTTATCTAATCTGTTAAGAGGCATGAAAGTTACCTCCCCTGGTAAATGTTGTCTATTCATCTCCTTCAAAATAGCTGTACCTGTCTGATCACTGTCTACTATATGATGGAATAACCTGAAATAAACCAGATGTCTTTTCTTGATATTTATAGCTGATATGCAGTCTTAATAGCAATTGAAAATTATATCAGTTTTCTTGCTAGTTGGTCAAAAATCCCAATTGACACAGCCGTGCCAAAGGAGGGTTATAATTGTAAATAACTAACTAATAACTAACAGACCTGAAATCAAATCCCATAGTATGAGAACATGTGTTCGATGCTGTATGCCAAATATCAAGAGGCTGTGATAAGTAGTTGCTGAGAAAACTGGTATGAAAAGTTTTTCCCCGCCCCCGACATTCATCATACTATAACCCGGGTTTGAACCTGTGCAACCTGGCCAAAAATTCACAATTCTAATCAAACCCCCACTGAAACCCTAAAGAGATCTAAAGATTGCTGGCCACATGAGTTCAAACCTGTCAAAGCAAAGCAGCTGTTTGCTGGAGCATGAAACTTTACACTCATTGCTTAGTACTAATTGGTTACTCTATAAGCTTATTATACCCGCAAAGTCAAACTAAAATTAATTCTGTGTAAACATTTAAATATGGATAAAATATTCAGCACGATGGAGAAAGAAAAAAGATGCAACTCAATGTATTATATCAGGTTAAACAAGTGGTAACTAGGAGGAACCAACCACACTATAACTTGACAACTTCCACACATTGAACTTTTTTCTCCATCCAATATAAGGATTTGAAACTATAATTTCAGCTTTTAACTCAGGTTTTTTTCCCCATGATTTTGGGAACATGACCCATATCCATGGAATTGGAAATTTCAGTGATGTTTTGTTAAAAAATCCCTTAATTTACCTCCCTCCAGCGGTGACCTCTACACATGTGAAGAATGTTTTGTCACATTCAAACATCTGGATGAGCGTCCCGTAGTATCCGTTAATGAGATCTTGGTTAATGTTACGGTCCCTGAACGACTGTAGAACTTTCTGAACACTGCTGATACCATTCAATGTTGCCTAAAACATAAAACACAGATGCCAAAATGATATTTTCTTTTCAAATATGCCTATTTTTTCATGGCTTGGTGAAAATCTGTTTACTTTTGAAAACACATTCAATGTTGTCTAATACTTAAAAGAAATCAATGTTATAAAACAGAAACTTTACCCTACTCCCCTAAGCACAAACAATGAACCAAACAATGCTTTTATATCAAATATTTCTATTCAGTCAAATCTTTCTGGAAAAAGTGTGGCATAATTGTTAATGTATATGGTCAAACACCCATGTAATAAACAAAAGATATTTCTTTCTTTTTTCAATAATTCTTTATCCAATCACCACTGTTTATTCAATAGAGCAGTGGTTACCTCATTGTATGTTATTCACCTATGAAACTTAGTTCACAAGTTCAGTCTGTGAAATTTTAATTAGAATATTGCTTCATTTTGTAACTTGATAATCTATCATACACTGTACCCTTTCAGTATTTCCATATTGGTTTTCTTTGCAATATAAAAAGTTAGGATATCAATTTCTTTAGGGCCTGCTTTTTAGGTCACAAAATAGCAATTTACAGGAAGAGTTTTTTTTGGTAAGATTTTACGTCAGAGATCATATGGCAACTTTCAGCTTTGCTAATGGGGGAAGACCTCAAGTATCCCTATGTGAAATATTTCAAGCATAGGCAAGGCACCGGAGTAGAATTTCAGACATTCTGTTAGCTAACTGGATAGCTCCCTCACAGGAAAGAATTCTGGAAGGGAGATGTCACAAAGTTTATCATGCTGAAAACACAATGTAATTTGCCTTTGACATCAATATAGAGCAAGGCAAGCTTGTATATCCATGCAGTCTGATAAGGGTTTATTCCGTTGGTAGCTTAATTTTGGTTACTGGTATTTTGATACTCAAAACTCCTTAAAATTTAAACAGACTGTCCCAAATTCAAAAGCAGAGAAAAACCATCACACAAACTGCAGTATAAGGGTTAAATTTAAATTTCTATACAAAATATTGTTTACCTTTCCTGTCATTGATCGCAGACCTTGCTCTTTTTTGGTTAGTTCATCTCTAAGAGATACAAGTGTTTGTTGTAATGCGTTCTCCTCTCTCCATAATGCACTGTAAATAACAAACAATTAAAGCATTGCTGACCAAACTATTTCATCATACATAATGTTATATTAAAGAGGTGTGATAGATAGGACTTTAATGTGAACAAGAGTCTGACTAATGTAGAAACATTCTACTTTGCATTGTTTGCCAAGGAACAGGTTATTTTACAAGGTTAAAATATTTTTAACACAATTTGAAGCCATAGCAGCCAAACTGCAAATTCAGTTTTATATATCAACAGCAACAGAAGCAAGGTTGCCTTTTCAAGATAATCATATCATGTACATAGCCGCATTTTTTATATATTAATAGGTTCATGCCTATCTATTGATTATCTTACAGTTTCTGCTTACTGAATGCTGCCCATACATAGGTTTATCATGTCACTACATTGATTTCTGTTGATAAAGTGCATGCCTGAATTTGATGTCATAAATTTAGCTTTTATCAGTCACCCTCTACTTTATCAGATTTCTCATCAATACATAATGAAATAAAATGAAGAGAATGGAAAATTTTACCTCTTTCTAGTTTGAAAATATTGAACTGATATATATATATAAACTTTGCATCAAATATATATGTGGACTTAAAAAGTCTCTCTTACAGTTGAATAACAATATGACCCTTGGCATATTAACGCACATGAGAGGTTTTTGTTTCATTTGAAACTTAAAGAAAGAAATGTATATCAAAACTGCAAACATGATAAATAGAATAGCAAACAGGTGTCTGATATTACAGAATTTGTAAGGCATGGCACAAAATTTTTCTTCTTTTTAGCCTTGCCTGATAAATTTTGTAATATCAGACACTAGCATGGTATGGACCTTTCCGGTTTTTTGTAGCGGAACACCTTTTCCATGCATTGCTAGGTCAACTGCTCACAAACAGTTTCACAAACAAAACCATGTGTTCTTTTGTGCAGACCAGGTCAACCAGTGACTATGTATATCTCAGTGTAGCAATTGGATAACAAGTAAGCCAATAAACATAAATCTGTAAACACTGGACAGGTCCATTCACAAGTATAACACAATACCTTCTTTCATTTTGCAGTTCATCTTTCTTGGCCTTCATCTCATTATAACTTTTGTTGTTTGTTTCGATAATGTCTTTATGTTGTTCAACTTTTTGATTAATTTCCTGAAAAATACATTGTATATGTACAAATTAAAATAATCAAATATCAATCAATATGGAACAGCTTTTAAAATAAAAGAAACCAAAAGGGGCAAAAACTTGTATTATCCTTAAAAACAATTCAGGGAATCATATAAGTTCAAACAAAAGGTAACAACATAACAAAAATTATGAAGGCAGTATAAACTACTGGTGTATTAATATATATTATTGTTATAAATAGCCGTTCAAGTTAAGCTGACTGAATTAACATAAAATACTGCATGCTTGAATGTCACCTTTCACTAAACAAAGCTAATGTTTATATCAAAATGTAACAAGCAATTATAGTATTGCAAGCAATCCATAAGTCCCCTACCGGTTAGAACCCCGGCGACATTCTGATGGGCCATTGGCCATTCAATTTTACCAGTGAATGAATGACATGAATGAACTTAAATCTTTTGATTTCTAAGTTTGTCTATATCACAGTAATGTGTTAAGTTTCCCTGCCTAGTAAGGAAATTATGTTTATACAACCTAGTCATATTATTACGATGAGGGATCTTAAAGTAAATCCTACAAGGAATGAAGATGTTGGAGTAAAAAATACCAATTTCTCGAAAAAAAAACTAAGTTTAAGGGGGACATAATTCTGAAAATAGTCTTGCTAGAGTATTTAACCTTCTCAAAAATGTTGAGTGATAATAAGAAACATATATATGAAGTTTGAAGTAGATACATTAGGAAATAAAGAAGTTATTTAAAAAAGACAACATTTTTTTTCATAAAAATTCTAAGTTCAAGGGAGGTAATACTGATAATTTTTGTGCTAAAGTTGTAAACCTTGTCACATATGATGTGGTTGATGACCAGAAACTTATATTTAAAGTTTGAAGTAAACACCTTAAGAAATAAAGAACTTATAGTGAAAAAGCTGAAAAATTTAAATCAGAAATCTTGAAATTCAGGCTATGTTGCCATAGCAACCAGAATTTTCAACATAGGAAGAAAAAAAAAGATGTGCATAATCTCTAGACTGCCATCTACCCATATTTTAAGTTTCATAAAAATATTTTCAGTATTTTTTGAGTTATCACTGGATCCAGTTTATGTGTTAAATTTGCCATATTTTCAGACTATTTGTTGCCATAGCAACCAGATTTTCAACATAGGAACAAAAGAAAAAGACGTGCATAATCTCCATACTGCCATCTATCAATATATCAAGTTTCATAAAAATATTTTTAGTACTTTTTGCGTTATCGCGGGATCCAGTTTTGAGGACGGACGGACTGACAGATGGACAGACAGACAGAGGGTAAACCTAAAGTCCCCTCCGGTCAAAACCAGTAGGGGACTAATAACAAAATGGCTGCCACTTCTGGCAAGGGAGGTAAATATTGTAAAAATCTTGAACTATCTGTATTTTCAGATTACCTCCATGCTGAAAATGATCAACATGTTACAAATTTATATGAGTTGTAATAAACTAATAAACTTACTGTAATTCTTGTTTCCAGCATATCCCTTCTCTTTTCTTCTTGCCCAGTGTCTTCTGTCAACTTTCTAATCTGTTATAATATACCAGATATATGAGCCACGTCACAACAAAACCAACAAAGTGTGTTTGCGACCAGCATGGATCCAGACCAGCCTGCGCATCCGCGCAGTCTGATCAGGATCCATGCTGTTCGCTGTTAGTATCTCCACTTGTAATAGAGTTGGTAAGCGAACAGCATGGATCCTGATCAGACTGTACGGAGGCGCAGGCTGGTCTGGATTCATGCTGGTCGCAAACCCACTTTGTTGGTTTTGTTGTGACGCGGCTCAATTATATACTTCCATTACACTTAACTTTATGAGAATAAACTCATATTCCCTTTTCCTGTCTCTAAACTGTAGCAACTTGTCAATTTACTTAAATATATATGTTACTTTTTAGCTTTTAACTATTACATAATAATTTGGTTGTCTCCTGTATCAAATAATAAAGTAGAAATTTATATGTCTTAAGTATTGAACATTTTCTAAACTGCTTAATCAACATGATAGTTATACTCATAATACTGAAAGTTTGAAGTAGGAAATGACAAACACTAGCAAAGTTCTATCAAAGTCTATAAAATTACAGTTCAAACTAAGCAAATTCTAGGGCAAAAGTTTGTGGATATTGTCAAAACCATTGCATAATTTGTTCTGAACATTACACTTTATTCTACTTGGTTTTAATTCTTTAAATTTTAACTTTGAGAGAAGTTTGAGTCCTTATTTTCCATAATACATAAAATATTAGATTTGGTAGTCATAACAATACTGTTCAAGATATTCTTTGCTTAAATTTGATAATAGAAAATATTGATAACTACTACACCGTCTCTTATGAAATATAAAATATACATGTTTTGACTAAACACAAAGTAGATATGCTACGTTTAAAACCCTTCACATTATATGAAACTGGCAGTTTTTTTTAAGAAAGGACCACCTTCACTTGACCTGAAATATGGGACAGAATTTCCCATACATAGTTGATTCATTTTTTACTCAAATTAGACATATCTAGTAAGAATTTTATAGATTTCAATTAATATTTGTGACTAAAATATTTTACTCATGGATGAGCATAGTATACAGGGTTGTCATTAAGAGGTGGCAGGAGGCCAAAATGACTGTCTCAAATGCATTTTGGGTCGTCTCAAAACTTAGAAAACACTCTTTGCTATATGTGATATTAAAACAAAAATAACAGCCTCAAATTCAAAATGAACCGTCTTAAAAAAAAAACAACTTAATTACAACCCTGGTATATCTTAAGTTTAATTTGTTACTATCCATTCTTTTTGTACATTACTTGAGGCCAATACAACGAAAATTTGAAATTAAAAATATAAACAAACAAAAAAACAAACAAACAAACACAAGACCTGTTCTTCCTTGTCTTTGATAGCTTTGTTAAGGGATTTGAGTTCATTCTTGATCCAGTTATCCCTCTCATCTCGGGAAGTAAACTGATTGCCACGCCCTTGTTTAGCATATAACTCTTTCCTCCTCTGTTCTGATGCTTGTAACCTGTTTATATATGTAACCCACGATTTATCGATTTTACTTGATAACATGTTACATTTAGATGTACAGATTTAATTTCATCGCTAAAAGACAAATATTTATGTTATTGAGGATGAATATCATTTTTTATTCCAATGTTCACTATATAACAATATCGGAGCTGTTTTGTTTTTTTTAAAAGCTACACGGTTACATCACTATTACAATTATTTACTTTATTCTCTAATGTCATCAACAATAACAGAAGAAGTAATATCAATCCCTCAATATTTATATCAGATATTAATAAAAATAAGAAAGAAAGAACTTGGTATTGTATAATCATTTAATAATTCAATCCATTACACGTTGCTATAAAAACGTATTTTACAATTTGTCACTCTATTGTTTGATTGTATTGCTGTACTTTGTATTTTGGGCCCGAGGCCTATATTACTAGAAATAAACTCAAGTTCAAGTTTATTTAGATATTGCACATATCATAAAATATTATCATACTAAAATCACATCAATCTGTGAACAAATATTGAAATATCTAACAATAAATTGAAAATTAAAATCAAACATGTGACAATTTTGCCCTTTTTTTAAAATTATTCTTCAACGATACTGGCTTTTTGCCCCCCAACATCAATGTAATTTCAAGGATATAACATAGGTCAACCTTTATTGTTAAATTACATTCAAAGCTGTCATGAATGTTCTCTTGATCCCTTGGTTACTTCACGCATGTCCTTTATTAGACAAATTGCCAAATGACACAGTCACATGAACCAACCCAAATATGACCTTTTAGCTTTTTTCATCCTTAACCTGCTCGAACTTTAATTCCACCAGTATCAAGCCAGGCCACTTTGCATGTCTATGCAGTCTGACCGGGCTCTATACTCTTGCCTGACATAATTCAAATATTCATCCTGATATCCCTTAAACTGATAATGAAAAGTTCCTAAAATGAAAGCTGGACGAGTCCATTTAATAAAATCAGCAGGTTAAGGGTAAAATGGGCTGTAACGCATATTCTAATCAAGAATACAGTTTAGCAAACTTGCATCAGGCAATTCTTTAGAATTTCAAAGTTGAAAAAAAGAAGACATTACAAATCTTAAGCCTTCAACAACTAAATATATGACCTGCGTCACGACAAAACCAACAAAGTGGGTTAGCGACCAGCATGGATCCAGACCAGCCTGCGCATCAGGGCAGTCTGATAAGGATCCATGCTGTTCGCTTACCAACTCTTTTACAAGTGGAGAAACTGACAGCAAACAGCATGGATCCTGATCAGACTGCGCGGATGCGCAGGCTGGTCTGGATCCATGCTGGTCACAAACGCATTACGTTGGTTTTGTTGTGACGCGGCTCATATATATAATCAATGTTACTAGTAGATACTTACTGTTGGGTCACATCCTCTTCACGGTCTCTCAAAGATTCATACTGAGGTGTTATGTTCTCTAAAGATGTCTGTGTCTTAGCAATTTTCTCATTCACCTTTCTCAAATCTTCCTCCAACTTTTTCTGTGAGATCAAAATCAAAAGGTTCAGAGAAGTGAATATTTTGCAAATAACAACCTTACACATAAACAACACAAAAACCATTTTGTGAGTCCTAAAATTAACAGGAATATTTCTGAAAACATTCACCTTTGCACTTTGGGTAAGAAATTACATGTATGATGAAAACAAGGCATTTTTTTGGTCTTTTAAATACAATGTTTCTTCCAAACACACAAACCTTTGCTTTGGCATCTCCCTCTAGATCATCTTGTATATCTTTAATGGTGAGTTCAAGTTTAGCTTTCTGTTTGGTGAGTTCTTGGTTCTCAGTCTGAAGTTGTTCCTTCTCATCAAACACTGTCTGCATACGTGTCTTCAACTCGCGCAGATCTTTGTTGATTGACTATAGACATAATGAAAGGTCATCATTAACTACTACTTAACTTGACATGTTATTTCAATACATATATATTCTTTTGACTATTTCAGTACTGTTTATTTTTAGTTTGACATTTACAAGTAATCTATAGATAATAACTACATTATTTAGTATTTAGAAGTTCAACTATAGGATGAAACTGCGACTTAAAAATATTGCAAATTGTCAGCAAAATATATAAAAATTGTTCTACAACAAGAATGTCGAACGACACATATACCCCCCTTTCTAGCCATTGACTCACATAATTGGTAATTATGGAAAAATCAACCAAAGCCATTTTGACATTAAAGGCCCCTGTGACCTTGACCTTTGACCTAGTGACCCCAAAATCAATAGGGGTCATCTACTAGTTATGACCAATCACTATGTGAAATATGAAGACTTTGTGATACACACTTTTCAAGATAATCAGCGGAAACCATTTTGACATTTAAGGCTTCTGTGACCTTGACCTTTGACCTAGTGACCCCAAAATCAATAGGGGTCATCTACTAGTGATGACCAATCACTATGTGAAATATGAAGACTTTGTGATACATACTTTTCAAGATAATCAGCGGAAACCATTTTGACATTTAAGGCCCATGTGACCTTGACCTTTGACCTAGTGACCCCAAAATCAATAGGGGTCATCTCCTAGTTAAGACCAATCACTGTGTGAAATATGAAGACTTTGTGATACATACTTTTCAAGATAATCAGCGGAAACCATTTTGACATTTAAGGTCCCTGTGACCTTTGACCTAGTGACCCCAAAATCAATAGGGGTCATCTACTAGTTATGACCAATCACTATGTGAAATATGAAGACTTTGTGATAAATACTTTTCAAGATAATCAGCGGAAACCATGTGGTCTACCGACGGACAGACCGACAGACAGACAGACAGACCGACATTAGCAAAACAATATACCCCCTCTTCTTCGAAGGGGGGCATAATTAATAAGTTGCAATAGCATTAATAAATCATGGTGTAACTAGTTTGAACATACCCAATCTAGCTCAATTAAAGTTTATATGGTTATTTATGCATGTTTGAGTCTGTACCGGAAACTAACCAGCTCTGAAGCCATGAAGAAACCTGGTTGTTACCTTAATGCAGCTCAAACCTACACTCTTAGTTTGATAGGCAAACATTTTACAAATAGAACACCAATCCTCTTTAATAATATTAATGGTTAATATTTATCCCCCCCCCCCAAATTAAGTTCATAACAGACATTCATGTTCAGTAAGAAAGCCATGGAAAGTGGCTTAACCTAAGCTTAGGTTTGTTGCACTGATACATAGGTCCAAATAATATATATACATTTTTTTATAAAAAAAATGGCACAGTAGTTGTGGCCTTTGTAAAAATATATATATACAAAACATGTAAATAACATACCCACAGGTAAATTAAATACCCATAGGTAAATTATGCACCAACAGGTAAATAACATACCCACAGGTAAATTACGTACCCACAGGTAAATTATGTACCAACAGGTAAATAACGTACCAACAGGTAAATTACATACCAACAGGTAAATAATGTACCCACAGGTAAATTACATACCAACAGGTAAATAACATACCCACAGGTTAATTACATACCAACAGGTAAATAACGTACTCACAGGTAAATTACGTACCCACTGGTAAATTACATACTCACAGGTAAATTACGTACCAACAGATAAATTACGTACCAACAGATAAATTACCTATCAACAGGTAAATTACGTATCCACTGGTAAATTACATACCCACAAGTAAATTACATACCAACAGATTAATTACGTACCCACTGGTAAATTACATACCCACAGATAAATTACATACCCAAAGGTAAATTACGTACCAACAGATAAATTACGTACCAACAGGTAAATTAAATACCTTGACTTTATCATTGGCGGCTTGTTGAAGGTCTCTGAACTTTTGTGACTGTGCTCCACTGTTATCTCTTTTCTCCTGAAGCTCGTCAAGTTTCTTCTTAGTGTCGCGTAACTCATGGTCGTGTATCGTGTATTCTAGTGATCTAAAATATAGGACATAAATACAACAATAATTAACTGACATCTGTTGCTAGTATTCAAAACGCCAATCAAGTATTCCATCGCTTACAAATGTACACTGATCAAAGACAAAACCTGGTTTTCATAGATAAATAACAATTATTTGTGTAATTACAAGTTTTCAAGCGTTAATTTGTTTAAATTCATATTGAGAAGGAAATTTCATCAAAAATACCAGCAAGGTCCTGTTATGATATAGGGGTGTCATCGATTCAATCGAAATCGGTGTATCAACGATCTTTGTTATCCGATTCAATATCAATTCCATTTTTTAAATATCGGATATCGAATGCACATATATTTTTAGCTAAAGAGACTTTAGCGAACAGGATTTATATAACTGATAGACCTGTTTACTGTCGCCAAATGTCAAAATAAATGCGACATATAAAGTACTGGAAGCCAGAAACATTTTTTTTCTAAAATGAAAAAGGAAATCAGTGCCAAAGTTACCTCCCAGTGTCTCTAACGAATGCTGCCTAATTTCGTTGTAATCTCGCACGTCTACTAAGTGGATGTCAAGACCCCTCAATTCAGATTTTAAAAAGGGAAAATGCCGAGAAAAATTTGTCAGTGTTTCTTTGTAAAAATTATGGTTACAAAATGTTAAACTTTAATAATTATTCAGGTTCTTAACACTATAATTTGCCAATTAAATCTGGCTTAATTGGAATGGCAAGGACGGGACTTAGCATGATCAGTAACTACGTAATAGCAACAACAACAACAAAAGTAAAATGGAAAAGGCTTTAAACTTTATAGTTTGCATTTATAGCTATATGATTAAAAAAGAAACAAATTGTTCAGTTTTCATAGTTTATCTTTTTTGCATTTGTCTTAATATAACTGCTTTGTCAGTGTCCTTAGGAAACATTTAAAAAGATCAAAAGCTAAAATTTAGCCTGGCAATCGATATATCGCTGTATCGCCGATAATTCATTACCGATATATCGATACAAAAATCGTTATCGATGACACCTCTATTATGATACACTCATATTTGGTGCATACTCTGACAGACTATGGCTGATATTTGAATACAAAATGTATTGATTATTTATGAATACATTATTTGACAATATTTATTATTTATGCAGAGATTTTTAACTTGTATTCCTCGTTGTGTACAGCTTCTGAATGCAGTATAATGACAATACATTTGTGACTGTATGAAGTGATTTTTTCCCCTATTTTCAAAACAGCCTGTGGCTTTCCGAATTGGAAAAATATAGCAAGATAAATCAGAAAAGGGGGGAAACCTGAAATCTGATTCCAACAACTGAGAATGGAAATTACCAACTCATTTTTATAAAATTTTCATTTTAAAATTCATTTTAACATGCAGAGGCTGTCTATAGGGACAGTTTTCAATAATTTAGCTGATATAAGTCAGATACTGTTATGTCACTGTTCTTGTAAGGAAGAGCACAAGGTATTTTAGGGGAAAATATTTGCATTTTTATGGGAAAATAGACCTATTTTGAGCTAGGGGATTCAGCCTTTATTCGGCTGTAAAATGCATTGAAAACAATCACTGGTATGATAATATTAAGATAAAATATCACAAGAAAAATAACTATACCTTCTCATCTTGTCCCATTTTTGATATTCTTTCAGCTCTTCCTTTTCATTTTCTAATGTGGCCAGTCTTTCCTCAATATATTTCAGCAAATCGTTTATTTTCTCTCTTTTACCCTCTGAAACAGTCAATGTGATTAATTCATAAATTTATAAATAGAAGACTGAATTAAAGCACATGCATGTATACAATTATCACATATCCATATACATGTAGTGTACAGTTTCAAGGTTATTCTAACATACAATTACTTATCAGTGCAACATTGCACTTACCATCAATAAATCAAAAGGCATATAACCATAAACTTAAGTTAATACTGAATACATGTATATAGCTCATTTGTAATAACAATCATGACCTATAAAAGCAAATTTTAGAATAAAATTCAGTATAAATTTGCTGTTTCCTTGAGATGAGTAAATGAAGTATAAATTACCTGTTTTGTTTGAAAATATCTAAATTCAGGATAAATTACCACTTCCTATTCAGTGTAGATTACCCATTTCCCTGAGAATATCAAAATTGGCTGTAAATTACTTATTTCCCTAAGAATATTCTAAATTCAGTATAAATTACCGGTTTTCCTGACAATATTCTAAATTCAGAGTAAATTACCTGTTTCCCTGAGAATATTCTTAATTAATTGTAAGTTACCCATTTCCCTGAGAATATTCTAAATTCAGTATAAATTACCAGTTTCCCTGAGAATATTCTAAATTCAGAGTAAATTACCTGTTTCCCTGAGAATATTCTAAACTCAGTGTAAATTACCTGTTTCCCTGAGAATATCTTTGCTTTCTTCCTTCCTTTCATCATATACTTTTGTTCCTGCCACTTCCCTTAACAACTTTAACCTCTGTGAATCGGGAGCTGTTGCCATCTGATTGATCTGAAATGGCCCGGGGAAAAAAACAACGAATTATAACACCTTAAAATAATAAAATCTTACCAAAATGCATTTACATGGCAGCATGATAAGACTATCAGTATTTAACTATAAAAGGACCCAAACTATTTCAAAATATATGAAAAAGTTATGCACTCTTGTCTAGACATGGAAGGAGGAGGGGGGTGGTGGTGGTGGGGGGGGGGGGTGAGAGAGGTAAGTCTTAAGTATTCCTAAAAGGGCACATATTTTTGTCAAAAATGTTACATTCTCCTGCCTACAATAGGTGGTTATGAGTCTTAAAAAATAAATTCTAAGTTTCAAAGCATTACCTAAATGGATTGAGTGAAAAAGAAAGGTTGTCTAAGACTTGACCAAAGTGTGACCTTAATATGGAATCAAGATGGCCAGGGGTGAGTATCAAAGACAGCTTTCCCCATCTCTCCAAAAGCAACTATCTAAAACTATCTGAAATAATTAATTTCTTATCTTACGAACACAATCTATCCTGCATAAAGCATTTAATACAGATGGAGTGGAAAAATGTAATCCATTTATATGCTACAAGCTCCCTGGAAAATGCGATAAGCATACAGAATTTGACCAAGAAGAAACTTTGTGTTTAGGATGTCTATGACAAGTTATCATTACAACCACACTAATTTCACCAAAAATTATGATATAACAATGTATTACTCACCTTTCCTTGCTTCACAATGTAGTATGGATTACTCCTGGAGAAGCCAGCACTTTCTAATAAGTTCATTACATCTCCTTTACTGAAATTTACAATATATACATTCCTATATAAGTTTTCCTGATGAACCATATATATATTTGTATGTTAGCTACACTACAAGCTGGAAAATGTTAAGAATATGACCAAAAGTTAAGCACAATATGAAAGCTTGTATAACAATGGTAATACATATATAATCAAACATTTATTAAAGATAAATTGCTATTTTTGTATAGTATCTTAAACCATGATGTTTCTTGTCTTACTTGTGGCATAAAATTTGTGTATTTTCTACAATAATCATAGGGCTATCATTGATGAAAAATGTACGATATATCGTAAGCTGAATAGAAAATATGACATACAGATACCCACAAATTGTCAAAACATTATTTGAGCCGTGCCACGGCAAAACCAACATAATGGATTTGCGACCAGCATGGATCCAGACCAGCCTGCTCCTCCGCGCAGTCTGATCAGGGTCCATGCTGTTCGCTATCAGTTTCTCTACTTGTAATAGGGTTTGTAAGCCAACAGCATGGATCCTGATCAGACTACGCGGAGGCGCAGGCTGGTCTGGATCCATGCTGGTCTCAAACGCATTACGTTGATTTTGTCATGATGCGGCTTATTTAGTTTACAGAGGAATATTTGATTGAATCTTTTCGTGATTTTTTTTAATGAAAAAAAAATCAATTAAATGAAATTTACTTACGTGACCATTTTCTTATCCAGAAAATACTGATCTTTCTTTGAGCCAATAACTCGACGTAACACCACCTCATCTTTATCAATCTACAAAATTAATATACCATTACTTAATAAATCAGCCCAGCTTTAATGAAAGAATTTATAAGTGATAGTATGACCCAGTGGTTAACACATGAAACTAGAAATATAAGTTTGAGAAAAATCAATATTTATACTTATTGCTTAGTACTGATTAGTTCCAGGAGGGACACAAGAGTGTATCTACAAGATTATAGCTTCCTTAACATAAGGCATTTTTAACACTGAATTTGTTTTTGACACAATTCAACATTGTTTTTTTCCCCTGAACAAACATATATCATAGCATGGTCTCTAGCTTTAGACATGTAGATAGATAAACATTACAAATTATTTAAAAAAATAGGGTAAGAATATTTCATAATTTGGGAGGGAAAAGTGGTCGAAATTTGGCTCGAATCATTGTAAATTAAGGGCTCTGATATTAAGCATTAAAGATCCTGTAACACAATTTTTTATATGGTTTTATATCATAAATATGATGCTCAAATTAAGATTTATCGATATTGTAAGTTCCAAATGCATTATTTATAAAGATATTACGGAATTTAACATTTAATGTAAATAAAGGGAGGTAATTAGAAATTTATTTTCTATAAAGACTAAGTCAAATTGTTCAATAAGAAATGAATGCATATATTTTAATGATTACATATATATAGATTACATTTAAGACATACAGGATCTAAAATCACTTATAAGAATTAAAGATTGTTAATTAATGACAATATACTTACAGGTATACGGTTATCGGAGTTATCAAAGATAACTTCTACAAAAGCTGAGATAACTCTTGGACCTGTTCCTTCATGTAACAATGCCTGTCTCTGTTCTGGTCTAAGATGGCTAAATTCATCAGACAGAACAAATTGGATAGCTGAAATCAAAACAGTTTAATAATATACCACAGGTTGTTAAGAATCTGGCTCAGCTATTATTACCCCAATTGAAAATCTACATTTAGAATGATTTGGTTTACTTCTGACTTTTTTCTTATAACTTTATTATTGGAAGCACTTGGTCCAGGGGTAACACGCTCGTTAAGAATGTGAGAGGTCTGGAGTTCAAATCCCAGTCAAGCAACTGATTTTTTTAAGTGTCTTTTTAGAGACTTTTACATTTTTTCTTTTTAATATAAAACACAACCTTCAAGTCCAAGAAAATAAGTTAATGTTTTATTTGTGCCAAAAAATAACTACTGTCAGTGAACTCTTAATCAATTTGACAAAAGTATTTTTAAGATGTGTGTACAACATTATTCTAATACATGATTACCTACCATAGAAAAAATTACTTTTTCCAGATCCATTTCTTCCAACTGAAACATAAATATTCAATAAAATCAATCTTCATCATAAAGGTTAACAGCATGAGAAAGGTTTATAGAGTTAAACATTTATTATTCTTTGGTTCAGTTCAGTATTCTGTCACAGTGAAAAACTGAAAATGTCACGCTTTACAGTTGAAGAAAGATCTCGGATGACAGTGTCTATTTTCATGCAATTATAATTTCAAGGAAGCTATTTTCAACAAGATATGTTTGTAAAACATGTATGCCCCCTATCAGCAGCCAATTAGTCATGTGATAAGGTTATTATGCATGACTTCTGACCCAGTGATCAAAAAATTAATAAGGGTTATCAAGTATCTACTGGTCATGACCTTAACCTTTGACCCCTTGACCCAAAACTCAATAGGGGTCATCTGCTGGTCATGACCAATCATCATACAAAGTTTGAAGTTCCTAGGCCTAAGCGTTTTTAGTTAATTGATCGGAAACCGTTTTTACCTACAAGGTCAATGTGACCTTGACCTTTGACCCCTTGACCCCAAAATCAATAGGTCATCTGCTGGTCATGACCAATCACCATACCAAGTTTGAAGTTCCTAGGCCTAAGGCTTCTTTGGTTATTGATCGGAAACCGTTTTAACATACAAGGTCAATGTGACCTTGACCTTTGACCCCAAAATCAATAGGGGTCATCTGCTGGTCATGACCAATCACCATGCCAAGTTTGAAGTTCCTAGGCCGAAGTGTTCTTTAGTTATTGATCAAAAACCGGTTTTACTTACAATGTCAATGTGACCTTGACCTTTGACCCCTTGATCCCAAAATCAATAGGGGTAATCTGCTGGTCATGACAAATCACCATACCAAGTTTGAAGTTCCTAGGCCTAAGTGTTCTTAAGTTATTGATCAGAAACCGTTTTTACTTACAAGGTCAATGTGACCTTGACCTTTGCCCCTTGACCCAAAACTCAATAGGGGTCATCTGCTGGTCATGACCAATCATCATTCAAAGTTTGAAGTTCCAAGGCCTAAGCATTTTTAGTTAATTGATCGGAAACCGTTTTTACCTACAAGGTCAATGTGACCTTGACCTTTGACCCCTTGACCCCAAAATCAATAGGTCATCTGCTGGTCATGACCAATCACCATACCAAGTTTGAAGTTCCTAGGCCTGAGGGTTCTTAAGTTATTGATTGGAAAGCATTTTTACCTACAAGGTCAATGTGACCTTGCCCTTTGACCCCTTAACCCCAATATCAATAGGGGTCATCTGCTGGTCAAGACCAATCACCATATCAAGTTTGAAGTCCCTACGCCTAAGGGTTTTTTCGTTATTGATCGGAAACCGTTTTTACCTACAAGGTCAATGTGACCTTGACCTTTGACCCCTTAACCCCAAAATCAATAGGGGTCATCTGCTGGTCATAAACAATCACCATACCAAGTTTGAAGTTCCTAGGCATAAGGGTTCTTTTGTTATTGATCAGAAACCGTTTTAACCCAAGAGGTCAATGTGACCTTGACCTTTGACCCCTTGACCCCAAAATCAATAGGGGTCATCTACTGATCAGTACCAATCACCATACCAAGTTTGAAGTTCCTAGGCCGAAAGGTTCTTTTGTTATTGATCAGAAACCGTTTTTACCCAAGAGGTCAATGTGACCTTGACCTTTGACCCCTTGACCCCAAAATCAATAGGGGTCATCTACTGGTCATGACCAATCACCATACCAAGTTTGAAGTTCCTAGGCCTTAAAGTTCTTTAGTTATTGATCGGAAACCGTTTTTACCTACAAGGTCAATGTGACCTTGACCTTTGACCCCTTGACCCCAAAATCAATAGGGGTCATATACTGATCATGACCAATCACCATACCAAGTTTGAAGTTCCTAGGCCTTAAGGTTCTTTAGTTATTGATCGGAAACCGTTTTTGCTTACAAGGTCAATGTGACCTTGACCTTTGACCCCTTGACCCCAAAATCAATAGGGGTCATCTACTGGTCATGACCAATCACCATACCAAGATTGAAGTTCCTAGGCCTAAGGGTTCTTTAGTTATCAATCGGAAACCATTTGGTCTACGGACCGACGGACCGACGGACCGACAGACCGACGGACCGACAAGTGCAAAGCAATATACCCCCTTTTCTTCGAAATGGGGGCATAATAAATATACATGTATTGAAATCGAGCAACTTTAACCATGTGCAAGCCTAGAAGGCCTTCTTCCATGACAGACTGTTTATACTTATGTTGTTTTCCATGTGATGGTTGATTGATAAGCAAAGCATTTAAAAGAGCTCTGTTATAATTATTACACCTTTTTACATTTAAGTAAATTTTCATATGATCATTTCAAGACAATCTAACATTAATACTAATGGGCTGTTCAAAGTGGTGACTGGACAAGAAAATAATGAAGTGCTGATCCCTGGCTGTCCTTTTATAGTATGTGCACAGTGTCTATTCTAGGAGCCTCTGGGGGATTCACTCATATTTTTGAGAATTCTCCCCCTATTTTTACAGAGGCAGAGGGTAAAATTTTACATAGAAAAAGATGGAAAAGAACAACAAATGTAATAAATTCTCTCTTTTCGATAAAAATCCCCCTTTTTGGAATCCTGAGTAGACAATATGTCCAAGGAGTGAGTGAATTAATAAATATTACAATATACCTATCACATTATGTTTACTGCTGAAAGGTTCTACAACAGTTTGCTCTCTATAGCTTCTGAAACCTTGAATAATAACCTGAAACAGAAAATACTGAAACGTAAATAGTAAAACCTAGAAATAAGTATTTTAATGGTTCATATAGAAACATCTGAAAATTTAGACTCCTTGATCTGGGATGTCATTGATAGAAAATTTTGGATTAATACATGTATATTGAATGCCAAATATTGTTTTATCACATATCCTAAAAATGGCAGGGCATTTTTTGTCAAAATTGTGAAGGGGCCTGGGCCTGTTCATTTTGAGAGAGAATAGTGGATAAATGAAATAATTTTTGCCATTTTTGCATCATTTTGTAACCGGAAAGTGGAAACAGTGTGCTGTGAATGCTTGGTTTAAAATTTCTGACCTGTGTAAAATCATCTTCTAGGCAGTACTTTCACCCGGTTAACATGCGTCAAAACCATTTACCTTGATTAAATCTATTTGACAAAAATCAAGTTTTAATGGAAGTTAAACAATGAATAAATAAAATTTCGAACTCGAACCCCATTATTTTAGAAATCTCTTTTGAAATTGCAAATTTCTGTCTGCTTCTTTGTGAAAGAAACTAGAAATGTGTCATCATGCCACGGATGCCCCCGCACGCAGCCAAAATTTCAGATGGTGCATAAATTATTCTTTTCATTTTAAGTTCAAAGCCCTTAAAACTTTTCAATGTTAACACAAACCATTTTCAAACAATGTTCAAGGCACTGAAATAATTCAGTCTTGACCTTTTAATAATAGCATATTGCATATTTGTAGCCAAAATAATGGCTAAAAGTATGAGTGCTGAAACTGAAAGTTCAAAACCACGACCAAATTCAAACTTAAACTGCTTATTCCTAAGATGTATCTATATTATTTTCAAAGTGAAAGGGACATAACTCTGCCAAAAAATCATCAAACCATGACCAAATTCCAACTTGACCTGCCCATTCCTTTGACATATCCATATGTCAAATTTAAGTTGAATATTTAACACTATTGGGTAGATAATGAACAGAAACTGTAAATTTCATATTATTTTCAAGTGAAAGGGGCATTACTCTGCCAAAAATCATTGAACCATGACCAAATTCGAACTTGGCCTGGGCATTCCAAAAACATATCCATATGTCAAATTTGAGTTGAATGTGTTGTACCATTGGGGAGATAATAAACGGAAACTGAAAATTTCATATTATTTTCAAAGTAAAAGGGGCATAACTCTGCCAAAAATCATCGAACCATGACCAAATTCGAACTTGACCTGTATTTTCTCATGACATATCCATATGTCAAGTTTGAGTTGAATGTGTTGTACCATTGGGGAGATAATGAACGGAAACTGAAAATTTCATATTATTTTCAAAGTAAAAGGGGCATAACTCTGCCAAAAATCATAAAACCATGACCAAATTCGAACTTGACCTGTATTTTCTCATGAAATATCCATATGTCAAGTTTGAGTTGAATGTGTTGTACTGTTGGGGAGATAATGAACGGAAACTGAAATTTCATATTATTTTCAAAGTAAAAGGGGCATAACTCTGCCAAAAATCATAGAACCATGACCAAATTCGAACTTGACCTGTATTTTCTCATAACATATCCATATGTCAAATTTGAGTTGAATGTGTGCAACCGTTCTTAAGATAATGAACGGAAACTGATGATGACGGAATGACAGAATGACGGAAGGACGGAAGGACGGAAGGATGGAAGGACGGAACAGGGTAACACTATATGCCCCGGCCATTACATGGCGGGGGCATAAAAAGTGCAATTTTGAATTGTGAAGGGGCGGAACATCTACCCATTATACAAGCAAAAAATGGCCTGAATGATATCGGAGGTGTCTTTTGACATGACGCCATTTGCGCTATAAAAAACATAGTGTTATGACGTGCTCAATGACAAAGCTATGCTGTAAGCGACCCAATGATAGTTTTTACTGTAAACAGTTCATTGTTTTCTTGAAGTTTCAGTACTAAATTTATTGAACCTATTGAATATAATAATATTACGCTTGCCAAATGCCAAAGCCTCCCATTTTAAAATGCCTAGACTTTAAAATCTGTCTGCAGCTATTTTTTAATATTATGATTGGAAGTGGCTAGCCTTATGGCTAGCCAAATGTTTTCTAGCCGTACTTGAGTCACGTACAGCTAGTCAGGACACACTGTATTGGCTAGCCGAACAGAACTTTTCAAAATTATATGAAAGTCGAAAATGCATATATGTTATTTTATAACTCTAAGTGAGGAAAGTAACCAAGAAACAACAATTCTCTTCTCATGTTAACCTTTCAGAGATTAATCGCCACATTGGTTACAGTAAAGAACATACGAATATATCGATCGTTGTGATTTCCAGAAAAAAAGAGCCTTTGGTTGCTGTTCAATAACAACAATTGAAATGGTATACATGGGTGGAAGTTGGAAATCTTGTGAATCCTGAAAATTTAGTTGGGGGCCCGGGGGCCTGTGGGTCCAGGGCAAAGCCCTGGTAGGGGGTCCAGGGGGGCGAAGCCCCCTGTAAGCTCATGGGAATTAGTGGTTTTGAGTGCTTGTATAGCGCTTTTCCAGGATTATATGATTGTCAAAAACTGACTTATTATCATGCAGAGAATGCATGATTTGTCAAAAACTGACTTATTATCATGCAGAGAATGCATGATTTTCTGTTAACAGCTCTTGTTCATGGATATACCCTAACATACTCTTTGATGTAGATTTAGAATGAAACATAACCTTCAAAACATTTTTGCTCTTGTGTCCATGTAGTCCAATATATTAGACGTAACAGGCTTGTTATAGTTTATGTCGGGCAAGCCTGGCGTCTAATAGTTATTGCTCAAAAACACATAGCATCATAAAAATTTCAAAAAATGTCTATTGTTTTCCCTTTCAAGCTTTTTTCAAAAGCTTATCTCCTTTTCTTTCAATTTTATGCTCAACCATACACAAAAACTCTCAAACAATGTACTAATCAATTTAACATCAATCTATTTTTGTCTATCAGCCATACTGGTTAAGCAAGGTGCTTTACAGATTGATTCCAAATTTTTGAACGGAAAAATATATTCGAACACACTGACGGTGCATGGGCAATTACTTCGTTAAATAAATATTCCGTTAGATTGTTCTGACTCAGTTAAACGCTTGAATTTGAATTAGCCAATCAGATTTCGCGCACTGTATGGCCGCCATTCGTTTATCGGCTGTAAAATGAATTGAAATATATGAGAGGATTTAATCATTATTTTTTGGATGTAACAGTTTAATTATTTTGTCCAGAGGTATTTATATTTTAGTTTTGTTCATAAATAGGTCAAAATTAATGTAAATACACGCTGTCTTAATTGTTTTTCGTTCTGCCCGATTTTCAGGCGGAACATGCTATGGGTTTTTGAGCAATTTCGATATGACGTTGCTTTGCCCAGAAGCAAAAATCTCAAAGCAACGTCATATTTATAGGACTAGTGTCCATGTAATTGAATCGGAAAAGAGTCAACTCGGCCCTATACCATCTCGGCACGGGTCAACTCCGCCCACTCTACAAAAATATATATAACGTATTAACTTTGCTTTGCATGTTGTTAAGGTAATTGAATAATAAAAAATATCTTATTATCATATAATTGTACTTCTGCCGAAATAAAGTACATTTAGAAAGAAATTGTTATTTATTTGTCTTGCAGATTCGATAAAATTAATATTGATCTAATAAAAATGTGTTTCCTTAGATGCATTTTGTTTGTAAAGTAATATTAAAAAAAAAATGAAACAAAAACGTGCTTACTTAATATCATAAGCTTCTAATTAATTGCAGGTGGTATCAAATTTGAATGCATGAGATAACTTTACGGTTAAACCTACCACGAGTGAGTCAGAAATACAGTGAGATACGCAATCGGTTATCTTTACTCGCAATTCTACTGATAAGAAAAGCCTGTCTGCTGCTAGTTCGGAAACTGTCAATCAGTGTATTATAAATACTTACAATAATTACAATAAATAGTGATAACACAAACCTAAATATCAATAATTGAAAAGTGGGCCAAGTTGATCCGTGCCGAGTTGGAATAGCCCCGAGCTGACTCGGGGGGGGGGGGGGCCGAGTACGTTTTAGGGCCGAGCTGACCCGGATTCATATTTGAATCAACATTATATAGTATTAACACTCAGAGGGTTATGGGTTAGAAAATTATGGGTAAGTAACGTAGGGTTAGGATTTTGAATTATGGATTTTCTGCAAGTGACCCTAAACATGAACTGCAGCTGATGAAACAGAGCGGCCAAACAGAGAGCTGGGAACAAAAGGCAACACAAAAGATATAGAAAATCTACTAATTAAAGAGTTAATTGCTGAATTGAAAGCAAACTCGTCTAAATCAAATGTTTACCTGTTTGATATACATTTTATGCAAGTTGACTGTTTAATTCTAAACTCAGGTGGCGAGCAGGGATTTCGATAAAACCAAAATTTACTTGTTTACATTTTCATAAATTACAAATGGCGGTAAATAGGGTAGCTTATATCGCGGACAAAATATGTATGCTGTTTCTATGACTAAACATAACACAGCACATGGTATTGTTTGAAATTTAAAAAGAAATACGTTTAAAATCTGTATTTTTATATGATAAATTAAAAAGTATCTCTTTTTGCAATATGAATTATTATTCTTTGTTGGTAGCGGTTCATTAAATGGGCGGGAAACAACATAAAGTTGTACACTGCTAAATTTTCGCTTGCTGGTGTTACGTTGTAAAGTGACCCCCATAGAATAATGACCCCCGGTTATTATTTTATATAAAATAGTGACCTCCTATAAAATAGTGACCCCCTTATATATAAAATAATGACCCCCATTTTATCTATGTATATGTTAGTGTTCATCCGTGCTGTTCTACAGAAATTAGAAACTTCGACGGGAGCGATAGCGAGAACAGCACGGATGAACACTAACATATTTAGTGTCAAGCTTTATTTTGCCCTTGATTACGTCACTACGCGGTACTATGAAGCACTATGAAAAATAGAAGGCGACTATGAACGGATTTCAATATAGTATCGACTTTTTTTCTTCTATGAAAATTAACACACATAATTTTTAAGAAATACAGCCTTTTCATTGGATGACAAATAAAGCTGGACACTAAAAAATATTGACCCCACCTAAGTTAACATTCTATTACAATTGCGTAAACGTGTTGTTGCTGTTGTTGTGCCTGTTGTTGCTTAAAGTATTAAATGCTTAATGCAAATTCTATCTGAAAGAGTGCTCATTTTCAGTGACAACACAGAGTTTCGATTAAGAATGAGTTCAAAGCCCAGAGCAAAGCAATCTTTTTCTTCATATTTTGCCTTCATTTAGGCAATTCAGCTATATATCGGCCATCATCTTTTTATAGGTAAATTTCTGAAAGAAATCAGTTCTTTATCACTTAATTTAAGAACTAAATGTAACACATACCGTGCATATTAAGCAAAGATTTATCACCTGAATTTTGTACGAGCTGCAGTCTTGCTCAAAATTTTTGTATATGTTTTTAAAAGTGCGTAATGGCGCAGTGATCTATAGCTTTCGTTCGTAAATGTTCGGATCCCGGAATAGTCGTTTCAATCACATATTCAGTTGTTTTGCTTCGTTACATTTAAATTTACCATATTTTATCAACCGCTTCTGCGACAAATACTCCACCGCCGCTGTGATGGACCCACCGCTTCTGCGAAAGCTATGGCCAGTGTGAGAGTGTTCATGTTCAGTGACAACACAGAGTTTCGATTAAAAATGAGGTCAAAGCCCAGAGGAAAGCAATCTTAGTTTTCTTCATATTTTGCCTTCATTTAGGCAATTCATCGATATATCGGCCATCAACTTTCTATAGGTAAATTTCTGAAAGAAATCAGTTCTTTATCACTTCTTTTAAGAACTAAATGTAACACATACCGTGCATATTAACTTGGACATAAGTTGTCTGATGTCCCAGATATTAAGCAAAGATTTATCACCTGAATTTTCTACGAGCTGCACTCTTGCGTAATGGCGCAGTGATATATAGAAGTCTAGCGTTCGTTTCGTAAATGTTCGGATCCCGGAAAAGTCGTTTTAATCACATATTCAGTATTTTTGCTTCGTAACATTTCAATTTAATGAATGTTATATTTAATTAACATAGAGCTACATGAGAACATGAAGTTTTACACTGATTTGTATTCGGCATAATTTTTCCTAGCTTAAGGAGATAAAATTAATGACCTGTTTGACGTTTTGTTATTTAAGAAATATACTAACACGGCCCGCATTTCCCCTATTGAACATAAAAGGATATGATGCAATAAAATCACTGTTGATGTTCTTTATTTAGACATGTACGTGTCGTAACCATTAGACATGTGACGTAAAAATACGACGCGCTGAAAATAAGTACGGAAACAAATTAGGCCCAATTTATTTGTTGATATCGTGTTAGAATCGAAATAATATATCCAAATCTGTGATTTTATATCGCTTGATTAAATGACTGTTTGTCGTTCGGTTGCGTATGGTGGCTGATTTTGACCATTCGTGTTTTAATTAAACTTCGCCCCGCGCTCCTGCAAATAAGCGTGTTTTCGTCTGGCGACCCTGCCGTTTTATTTCTTAAATCTCGCTTCGCGCCAACTCGGGTCGAAGTTATTTATTGGCTTGCAGCCACGGCTGCAAGCCATTTGTTTGGAAAAGTTGTTCCGGTTAGGTGGTTTCCTGCTTACATTTGTTAGTGCATGATTGAACGGGAACCAGCTGCAATCGTGCCAATCGCAACTTTTCGGCCCTTTCCGTCACTCTTCGGATTAATGATAATAGCCGAGGTAGTTCCGATTGCAATCGTGACAATTCGGGCGTTTCCGTCATACTGCGGAATCAGACGAAGTAATATTATGGAAATCTAAGCTATTTTAGTTACTTCGGTAATCCCAGTTTGTTTATATAAATAGGATTTCTATTTTTACTTGGTTCCGTTTCAGTTCTTTTTCAAGACGCAAAAGTTAGTTTCTTTTATAATTGGTTTTTGTCTTTATTAGTTTTATACAATAGAGAATGGTTACTGTAGTAGTATTCCGTCTTCAAAGGGCGGTCCTGCTTACCAAAAGATCCAGAATGTTAGTGCATGATCAAGTTATATTTAGATCTACTGACAGAGGTGAGGTAATCTAAAAATGGTGCTCGTCCAGTCTTGGGCTTACCCTACCTATCCCTTTAAAAGTGAAACTTTTTTTTTTCGAGAAAAAAAACAAACTAAATAAACCGTTTATGATATACAAATACCGTAATTCAAAAAAAAATGTGATAATAAATTGAAAAAAAAAAAAAAAAAAAAAAAATTAAAGGGAAGGGATGATGGCACAACTGAGCAAGCCTTTCCTTTTAAAAGGAAACTTTATTTAACTTCGTCCCGCGCCCCGCTTATTAGCGTGTGTTCGCTCCGCGTCCCGCCATTTTAACATAATAATTCTCGACGGGGTCGCGGGACGAAAACACAAGTCGGACAAATCAGCCATCATAGTTGCGCACGATAAAATTCTTCGCATCCACACTCCAAACAGTGATTTTATTGAGCGATAAAATCACTGTTGGGGTATATTATTTCTAAAATATAATAATAATAATAAAAATAATAATAAAAACAACATCGCCTGCTTAAGTCGTTTGTAGTTTTCCATCGACAAAATCGTCTATGGTCTTCTCTAACCTTAAAAGAATAGCAAATTTTTAAAACCATTTAACGTCCGTCAGAAATAATGACATTTCGCCTTATAAGACAGTCATGTTACTTTAATTTCTATGTTAAGGGCTCTCTAATGTTGTTTTTTACACCAGATACTTAACTGTGTACGTCATTTATTGTTGCTAATAAAAGAAAAATAAAGGAAATGAAGGAAATGAAGGAAAGTTGTCCCTGTTTAGGAATGCTAACTATCTGTTCAATAAATTTTCTTTATTTTTCGATCATTATAATGTCGGTCTGGCAAAATACCTGAATACACTTTTCTTTGAATTGCGTTTGCACAACGCATTTTTTAAAAAAAAATGGAGCTATACCGAATTCGGTTGATGTTGTTATTGATATCTGCTTTCTCGTTAAAAGGGCATATTAGCATTATATGTATACCATGTGTGCAGTGTAATGTAAGCATTCTGAAACTGGAAACGGTGATCTGGTCTGAAATGAAAAAAAGTGGCTCACGGTCTCATTTAAAAAAAGATGTAACAGTTAACTGACGGCAAAATATTTCATTTTGTATTGTTGAAAGGCGATTGAGGCATGGAAAAGGACTATGTTTAATGACAGCTATGGAAGTGATGTCAAAAATCCTCTATATTTTTGAGACCAATAAGATACTCATATATACCCCTAAAATCCAAAAACAAAAAGAGCAAAAAGAATTTGAAGTTTTTAAAGTAAAATTATAAGTTCAAAGAGGAAGTAGCTCTTGAAAAAAGATGCTAGAGTAATGACAAAGAACAATTAATTATCTTAAGTCTAGAGTAGATACCATTTATAATAACAAAGATAATACTAAAAAAAACAATTTACAATTGAGTTCAAAGATGAAATGGCGGTAATTCTGGCAATACAGGGGCTTGCGTTTTGTAACTCTTATCCAAATGACAAAAAGTTCTAGTAAAAGATACCATTTGTTAATATAAATTCCAAGTTCAAGGGGGAATAATTCAGGAAATAGTCACGCTAGAGCTAAGAACCTTGTCACACAACATGTGGGTAATAATAAGAAATATATATTTGAAATTTGAAGTAGATACCTTAATAATAAAGAAGTTATAATATTTCTTAAAGAAATTTTCAGTTTAAGGGGAGATAAATCTAAAAATATTGCTTCAAGAGTTATGACCCTTGTCACATAAGATGTGGTTGATGGTGAGGAATATGACTTTGAAGTTTGAAGTAGAAACCTTATAAACTAAAGAAGTTCTAGTAAAAAAAAATATTTTTTAGTTAAAAGATCTTAATTCATGGTGAGGTAATTCTTGAAATATTGGTGCTAGAGTTATGAACCTTGTTACATAAGATGTTATTGATGATAAGGAACATATATTTTAAGTATGAAGTATATTCCTTAATTTATAAAGAAGTAACAGTAAACATATTTTTAAGGAAAATTCTAAGTTTAAGGGGAGATGAATCTGAAAATATTGGAGCTGGAGTTGTCAACCTTGTGGCTGATGATAAGGAACATATATTTGAAGTTTTAAGTTGATACCTTTAGAAATGAAAAAGTTATAGTGAAAAATATTTTATTGCGCCAAACGTTTATCTGGACGTTGACGCAGACGTACGTCTAGGCGAGTAGTACAGCTCTCCTTATACTTTGTATAGCCGAGCTAATAAAAACAAACAAGGATTGCAGTCGAATACCGTTGTCATTTGTAGAAAATGCAGACTGAGGCTGGGCTTTGATTATAGTAGCTATCTCCGAGAGTTTGAAACAATTTCGTCCAATAGTAGGTCGAAGCGTTGCACGGTCGCACGGACACACGCATAGAAAAAATG